TCAGTAGGACTCGAACCCGAATAGTGTAACGTATAGCCTTGACGCAACCACTTCGTCACACTTTCGCAACTGCCTTTGGGCCACAGAGCAGATGTGAATTTTAACGACTGCCAGGCCTTTCCCATATCACATTTGCTATTACATACTGATGCATTTCTTATTTTTTATTTCAAGTATGCTTTCAGCCTATCAGTAGATCTTGTATAAGGGCTGTATTCAAATCTACCCTATAATGCGTGCAGGTGTGGTGTAGTTGCTAACTTGTCGAGACTATGCGCTGCACTACCCGGGTTCTAGTCCCTCTGGGGGCGCCGGTGGGACCTAAACTAAGTCGAAATCTCGTCCATCCTGTATGATCATATATTTTAGTCCTTCATCACCTTAGACCGAATAGGGTAAACATAACTAATGTAATGTAATGTAACTAATGCACTTGTAATTCAGTTTTGTACTGTTTTGATGAGTAAATGCCTCATAGTGTGTTGTACCATTTATAGTTAGCTTGAAGATTTCCTTGGCTACTACCAAAAACGAATAAAGGGTCCAATAAGGTTGAGATCCTGTCTCAGAAACTTTAGGCGGTTATCTAAAACGGAATGGTACAAGGATGCACACAAAAAAACGAGAGATGAGAGAAAAGGCAGTACTGCATGGTCAACTATTAGGCTGTAGGTGCCCGTTGGGGTACCGTTTGAGGTTGTACCCGGAAAAGGCTGCCATTATTGAGGATGCTACTCATGCAGTTTACACTTTTCTACTTTTTCTGATATGGTAGATGATAATGCAATCTGGTGATCTGGCCAACACGATCTCAGGGAACAAAAGCTTGATTCCATCTTAGGAAGGAGCAGTACTGGTACGGCGAAAGTTCAACTAAATGGCGATGTGACGTCTTCACTGTTTGACCAGATTTTTTAATTTGTATTGGCGTTTTGGGTCACTATACTTTTGCTTTATGATATTATCCATTTGAGTTCCAGACTCAATGGAGAATTAAGATAATTTATATGCATAATTTCATTTCTAGTGCAATGTATATTCTAGTAACTATATTTTTATGTCATAAAATTTCTTTTTCAGTTGTTTCGCTTTCGGCATTTTCTAGTACTTCTCAATAGGCTTGCATTGACGTAAATTAGCATTTTTATATTCTCCGTTACTCGGAATATACATTCTTCTATTTTTACTTTTAGCCCAGTGGTCTGTTGGGTGTTTTGGGAAGTGATCGCTGTCTTCGCCTTCTTACTCGCCATATACCCGTTCCCCAGCCAGATGTTAGTGACTCCATGCCATCCAGTAGTCGGACTTCGAACCTCTTTCCGGCTAGATGGCATTGTATAGCATTGTTTGGTCTCGGTAGTCTGGATGACCCTTTGCTTACTTATGTATCAGCGCCTCTGGTCACTGGGCCGTGCAATGCGCCCTCCCCTGTCGTCACTGCTGCCTGTTCCGCTGAAAATGGTACTAGCCCAGTTAGCTCAGATAAACGATCGACTTTGGTGTCACTTGGCACCACCGATTCTTCTGCAACCCCCGCAGGCCTGTTATTGGCCTCTGCCTCACCATATCTAGCTCTGCTGGGCACTGATGGCCATCTGCATGTACACAGTTTGGCTCTGCTCCTCTCCAGGTTTGCTCGAGTAAGTCGTTCAGCTTTCACATAATCATACCAACTTGTCACTCAGAGTTCCATTAGTCCGGAGCCATGTGGAAACTTATATAGTTCTTTTATCAACATGTTCACGCTGCCACTATTATATTGCCTAAAAATAAACCATTTTTAAACCAGATGTGGTCTGACCTGGTGACCTGGCTCGCCTTCACAAGCCCATCTCTTTGACGAGTTGTAGCTTGGCGCTGAGAATGACAAAACGATGCCGGTGAAACGTCTAAAAATGTACCAAGTCCACGGCCCGATGCTTGGAAATATTATAAATACTATAGCATAGGACTTCGGACAAGATGCGTACAACTAAATCCTTCTGGTAACACGACCAAGTTGCGAAAACGAGGTCAAAACATATCTATACATAGATAAGAGACTGCGACCAGAATAGAGGCCACAACCTCTTGGTCTTCGTATATTCTTTTAGACCAATTTGATTCATCTTTTGGATTTTCATACCAAAATCCTCATATATATGTAACCTTCAGTTTATACTGCATAGCACTCATGCTTATTTGGCATCAATTTATCGTATGCTCACAAATAAAGATGAAAATATGGCAAATTACTGTATTGACCCCCTATCTCCCGTAACATATTCTCCAGTAAGGTAGGATAAGCCTTTTCTGGGATCAAGATATCCCATAAAAGAAGTGTGGAGGATCGCAACTGGCCACAATACTCGACTTAGTGTTTGATGACTTTTTTTAAAGAATGCTTTCTAACTCAGAAGATGTCTATCAAATGGCAGACGTAAACTCAGCACGGTTTTATCGAGGGCAATGCACGGAGGGCTTCATCACTAAAAGCGGCCATCATAACGCCAAGGAAGGCTCCCTTTAGTTTCCTATGGAACCAGTCTTCAAATCTCTTTTAACCAACTTTTCATATGAGATTAAAGGTCAAATGCCGATCTTTACATACAATTCAGGAGACTAATTGTCATATAGAAGTGGGTTGATCCCGTTTTCGCAACTTGATCAGGGAGAATTAGTGAACACACCTTGTCCAAAGTCCTCTGCCATAATAGTTATCGTAATTCCCAGCATCAAAACGTGGACTTGGACTCAGACGTTTTGCCGGCATCGTAGTCGACATTATCAGTGAGTCTTGCCATTCTCCCCCAAACGTCTGAGAATGTACCAAGTCCACGGTCTGAAACTTGGGAATTATGCTAATTACTATGGCAGAGGATTTCGGACAAGGTGCGTTCAATTAAGTCGCCCTGACAACAAGACCAAGTTGCGATAACGAGGTCAATTCACTTCTATAAATCGAAAGCAGGCTGCGACCATACCGAGAGCCACAACATCTTGCCCTTCATTTCTTTAATTGCCCTATATTTTTATAAATTTTCACTTATCCCTAATTCTCTCCTATATCCCTGCGTGCTACTCGAAAAAATATATCAATTTACTCAAAAATCTGTTCAGCATAATTTTTTTAAACACATAAATTCTTATTAATTTAACATATCTATAGATTAATTATACTTTGAAATAGTATGACTAACGAATGAGATACCCTTATGCTTTGCGTTTAAGATCGTCAAAAATTACTGATTGTTTTGTAATCTACTTATATCGAAAATAAGCTCCTGTCACCTCTTCGTCCGCAAATCTTCGATGAGTCAGTAGATAAATTCAGTACATGTTTAAAATTTCTCTTCTTTTTTTCGGTAAGCTATACACTTAATTTGGCTGGCTCCTCTTTTCTCTTCGTTTTAAGAACATTACTCTGTGGCACATTTAGTCTCTAGAGGTAGACCTGTGTTTATTTAACCTATTTTTATCCGTGGCGGTCAGACCCAATACTCCTGACTTTGTAAGCAACTTAAATACTTGTCTTGACTATCATACCATCGTCAGTCAAATGGGCCCCATCGACCTTTCGATTAACAAATTTTATAGCATGATTATTTCAACTGCGAAAATTTAGAAATATACTTGAGATTCAGCTTCTAGGATACTTTTATCATCCTAATCGTTAACGCTTTGCAAGTTTTGCCTCACTGGTATGTTAAGTACCTGAGTTGACCATTATTTCATTAGTCTATTACGGCACTTAAGAAATGACACTATTTAGGACGAATGCAAGAGTATAAGATAGAAAAAGCCTATCTCTAGCCTTAAATTTTGAAAGCTCTACTTTACTGTTGTAAGCTTGTGACAACTCTCCATACAAGTTGTAAAGGCTTGGTCTATAAAAAGCCCACATAACATTGATCTTTTATTTACGCTCCTTTTTTTTCATTTTACCTAGTCATTAAGGTAGAGCTGCAGCAACTTTTACAAGATTAATTTATCGGAAAAAAAGAATCCAGCTGAATCTTACTCTCCAGGAGTTCCTGGCGAGCTAAAACTTCATGTTTTGCTTTCTAGGTTAGTGAATCTGCCTTTATCTTTAGTTCTTATTTTGAAGCTTGGACTTAGTGGATCCTCAAGGCATAGCACCTTAGGATAGTTGAATTTTTCAGAGTAGTGTCAAAATTAACTCGCCGAAAATAAGATCAGTCCTAAACAGAATTTGCTGTGAGGAAAATTTGCGATAAAGACACAAATTTTGGATAAACCAATTTTCATATTTAATAAACGTGAAAAATGATATATAGTCGCTATAACTTAAGTAACCCCATTTTCAGATATTTAACTCGGTAAAAAAATGTCACTATCTGCTACACTAATAGAATCATGTACTAACAATAGGCGACGGTTGACCAAGATATATTTTCTACGAGATGGTTGATTTAGTGTGATGCTACCTGGCCCAATTAGGTCGGAAATTCCTCAACGATCGTTATGTCCTAACTGTTTGTTCATAACACGGGTACTAACTACCTTTAAACCACTCGAAAGTAACAAATCTGACTACATAGCTATCAACCTTTAATTTTAATAGAAAGTTACACCTCCAATGAATCCACTTCTAGGACAAATAACAAAATTAGATTCTTCAACAGAAATAAGCCTTTTACTCAACTCATTATTGCCAGACCAATAACAGCACTCAAAATGTTAACCTGCAATTTTTTCCTCCCTGTTAGTTTTGAATATTTTTGCAACGCAATAAATAATGTTATTGGGCCCTATTCTGTTGGATTTAAAAATGGTATTTTAGTTAACTTTAAAATAAGTACCGCCTTATCGCCTGTGACTTTTTATTCTTGCATACTTGTCAACAGGTCCTTCGTTGACCTGTATATATTATTTATGACCCTAATCGGATTTGTTAAATGCACAATGTATCTTTTAATTCAGATTTAGAGGTGCCTCTAGTAAGCTTTTTTGAGTGCGACAAAGAA